CTGTGGGGTTGATGTGAGCTCACGTATCTATTGGATTTGAAATACTTGCCTCACCAGCGCGGCTTAGGTTACGATCAACGCACTTGTGATATACTGGGTTACGTCGAAGTATTCAGACCAACATGACAGGACGCCGACGGCACCGAACTTCATTTCGCCGTCGAAGTCCGAGAACCCTGAACCCACCGGAACAGCGCCGACGAGGAGTTCCAAGGCTGTGTTCAAGTTGGGACATTCGAGAAAACATTCACCAGCCGGCCATCCGAGCATGGAGGTGAATTTCGTCTGGAACCTTTTGCCGAGATCAAACACGCCGAGCTTGTCCTTCTACAGATCAAAGTCACTACGTATACCGAGTGGGTTGATGAACACGGTAGATCATCAGTCAATGAGTCGGAGTATGAGCTGCAAAAAGTGCACTCCATTCAACAAATCAGTCCCAACGGAGTACGAGAGAATCGTCCTCCTGATTCCCATCAATAGACCTCCGCTTCAGTGATGATACCGCGGCGTCCATTCCCTTGTCCATAATCGTAATCCGTGGTGTAAATATGAGTCTGTGAATTGGTCACCGTGGGTGATTAATATACTTATCTCATCGTTCGCCACACAGACTAACTTCCAGGAACAGTGTGAATGTTGGTCTGGAACTGTCACTGTTTCGACCACACGCGGACGCTTTCGGCTTTGTGCCGATTAACTCCTAGCGACCGCGCTCTATGTACAACTGCACCCGATATCTTTTGCTTGTAGCGTGGATTTTAGTCGGACGTCGGATCCCACTTTTAGGCGCCAGCGAAATTGTGATCCGTTGGAAAAGAATGGAATGTCCATCCAGTCCGTCTCTCTGTTTTTCTGCCCAATCGCCTTCAGCCAGGCGAAGGCACGATCTTGTTGTTTTTGCCGCTTCTTTCTTGGAGGCCTGGAACTTCGTCCGCCCTGAGTCTTACGAGACATCGGCCGGAGTTTTATAGTTCTACTAGTCGGCTACCCCAGATATCCCTTGACGGTCTCTGTGGAAACGCAGACCCACAGATAATCCCAGCCTGTCAGGCCTCAGGATTTACTCACTTGAACTAGGATGCTCTAAATGCGTGTGTGGTAACGACTCTTCGGAAATTCTACGCCTCAGACGGAAGGCATGGAGAGGACCACGACGTCGGTGCGTCATGCAATAAACATTCAATACACTTTTCCAATTTCCGCTGCACGCTGATTTTTCCCCTTCAATTGTAATCAGATGGATGTATAAAATTTTATGCGTTTATACAACCTCCGCTTATTGCATCTGCGGACTTGCGTCGGTATGGCCTACGTTACTAGTGGTCCATCCTTCCATACGCCTCGTCTCTCCCGCCTTGGAGCCTCCAACATTCTCCCGGCGGGATTCGATGGTTTGTTCCCACGAAGTTACCCGCTCTTTCGACGGCGCCAGTTTCATAGCTGTTTGGAGGAAATTTATATCCTTGCCACCCGGTTCGCAGGCCCGATGGACCGTCAGGTAAATCGGATCTTCAGCCTTAGATGTTGGGTGACGACCCGTACGGCTAGCGCTACACCACGTACACATGAACCTGGGAGATTATCCAGGGCTTTTAAAGGAACCTGTTAGAAGCTCATCCATTGCGCTGGGCCACGGATATCTTCTCGAAACCGTGCACCTGGAATCGCAACGCAACAGCCGTTTCCTTCGAAGGCAGTCCAACTTACACGCGGCAGGGCATGGAAGGACTACAACCCTACCTACCTCAAGCCTACCAGTTGCCGGTGCCATCTCTACGCCTAACTTTGACTTGAATTGGTGCATGGGGTATGGAGAGCCTCAGGTATTGAGGAATAAACCTCGGTTAATAGAACCCTACTGGAACAGATACTTTTTTTTTTTGGTGTTAGCTGGTGCTAGGTCATTTGTTAGAGACGTTAGTTCTCTGCATGACACCTGGAGGAAATGCTATTACGCACTGGTTTGAGGACCGTGTGTGGGACTCGCACCGGGTGGTGTCGTGCGCTCACCTAGTACTTAAGACCCAGATGTATGTGAAGCGAACCCTTCGCATCCTTCTCGATTAATGAATACCCTGAGTGGAACCTCAGGACGCATGCAACACGGGGGGTCCTTATTCCACGGCGGTTTGTCATTTTCGTTTGTGGAACCATCCCCAGCTGGGCCCGGTTTTGGTCCTCGGCGCCATGGTTTCCCCACTGGACCCCAAGAATTTTGCAACAGTAAAACATAGACAAGACTCTTAAAAACACCCTGAGTGTTCAGAGAGAGAGAGTATTTGTCATTTTTTGCGAGTTTATGGAGATGGGTATTCCGCCACAGGTTGCAGTGCCTTTCACGAAACCGGATATGCGCGTGGTGCGGGGATCGGGGTCGTGTCTCTGGACCTGCTCCCTATTGTCCTCATAGCGGCCACAGCGGCCTCCTTTCGTCCCTCGACGTCCACCCAACTCGCACGGCCCCGTTTAAGTTTTGCTTAATTCTGTGACGCCCTCCAACACACATCCATCCTTTCTCATCCGATACCCACTACCACCCATATTGCCGTCTCGACATGCCCCTTCCCGAGAACACCACAATTTCTTTGCATGGCTACTCTCGCCCTGAAGACGCCTTACATTCAAAGCCCAAGCAGGCCTTCTTTCTAAAATTGTCGGCAGGGACGCTGGAGGCGTTGCAAGCATCGCCCCTACCCCAGGTTCAGTTCACCTTCGGGAAGCGATCGGTGAGCTTGATTCCCACCGCAAGATCGCAGCAGCTAGACCTTCTGTCTTCTAGGGTATTCAAGTGGGAGACGCTTTCTTTCCGACCGAGAAAGCTCCCGAGAATGCAGTCCATGATATATACATCCGCGCCACTTCTGCAAGACAGAAGAATCCACCGCTCAAGTACTACGCCAAGGTTGTTGGAAAGCTCGAGGTACAACGCGACCGCGTCGAGGAGATAGGCGATAAGATTGGTCGCAGTAGAAAGGACGCCGAGGAGCTGCGGCAACAACGAAAGATCCAGATGATCGACGGCCCCCCCACCGATGTCCTGAAAGCTGGGAAACGCAAGGACGTCAAATCCAAGAAATCCGCCCCCGCCCCCCAACGACCTACTCCCACTCCATCGTTGAACAATCCGAGCTCGAGCGCGTCCACTTCATCCCTTGGAAGCGTTTTTCGAAGCAGGTTGATTCAATGTTTCGCAACTAGCCCTCGGACAACCGAGGAAAGTATTAAATTGCTCCTCGGGCGTAATCCGAACCCAGATACACGAAAAGAATTTCTGAAGCTACTAGTTGAGGTTTGTGACAAGACCCCTTTAATGTTGATGTACTGACTGTGGTACCTCGCAGATCGCGGACCCACCTCCATCATCCAAGAAAAATACCGACTCCCCAACACCCCATGTATGGACTTTGAAGACGCAGTACCGGGCTGAAGTTCGCTCAAGGCCCACTACTGGTGAGGTGGAACGTGCCAATGTAACGCGTAACACCACCCCTACCCACACGGAAGGTCGTGCTTCTCCTATTCCTGTACCCGAAGTCAAGAAACCGGCTATGCCACGAAAGGATCTCAAGGCCAGGAAGAAGGCAGATACTCCAACACTCGCAAAAAACGAGAGTTCAGGCTCATCAACTGGTAACAGCATTCCTTTGAGAGAAACCGTCGGTGGATCGATCAAGGCTACCCCGTCTCCCCACCCTCCGATAAGACGACTGCCTCCCGGTTCTGGTTTCAAAGCCAAGGCACCTTCCCCCAGTTTCCTTTCTCCGACTACTGCAACAATACCCCAGAAACGTTCATATCCCACAGAGACAGCGGAGCGACGTGAGCCATCTCGTCTCGCTTCTTCATCTCGTCCATCTCTATCGGCTGCACAGTTGCCTCCTAGACCCAATCCCGCTCCGTCTATCACGGGGCAGATGGCGGAATCACAAAAGGCCCGTGGGGGTGACCCTCCACCGAAGCGTAAGCGGCTAGAGGAAGATTTACAGACGGAAACACTCCATACCGCTCGTATACCCAAGAAACGGGGCCTGGATGATAATTCTCAGGTGTCATCAAGGGAATCAAGATCAAGGGATCGATCTGCCACCTACGAGGATGGTGAGCTCCCGGAGTCCCCGATCGTGAGGAAGAAGCCGAAACTTGACAACGACCCACGTTCTACTCCCCGCGATGGCCACCATGAACGTGGACGGGACCGTGAACGCCCTCGCGAGCGCGAGAGGGAACCAAACCCACTTCCCCCTAAACCTGTCCAGGCTCGCGAGCTTTCCCCTCCCCCTCCTCGAAAGTCTCGGCAAAGCCCTACCCCCTCGATACAACAGAACCGGGATTCTCCTCCAGACAAGGTCACTACCACGGTGAGGGCCACATCCAAGCCCCACAATGGAAAATTCAAACGCGGGTCCTCGATATACACCTCTTCCGATGACGAGACGCCCCTCAAGAAGCAGACGCAAGCATCTCAGCCCAAGATCCCGACAAATATCCCCCCTCAGCACAAGAAAAAGCGCGATCCACTGACGAGGGCACCCTTACCCTCTGATCCCGCTGGGATCCGTGCTGTATATCGTGAGCGCTACGTACCATATATCACAACCTACGGAAAGGTCGTTGCACAGAAGGCAAAACTCGAGGGAGCATTGAGCGGTTCTGTTAGCTCAGATGTGGATCTAATGGAAGAAGACGAAGTCACGAAATTGGCAAACGAACTGGAGGTGTATCAACGGGAGTTGGAGACTATAGAAGCTGCATACAAGAAGGCAGAAGAGCGGGAAAATCTGGAGTTCGAAAGGATGGGAAGGTCTTCCTCCTCAGACTAAGGTCCGACGAACCTCCCTCGTTCATGTTCTCGTCACTATTTATCGTGTCCGACCGCATCGCATACATAAGACAATAAGACATAGATCATCATGTACGGTAGAATAGGTTAATTTGGATTGGGACTTCCAAAACTACGGTTTTGAGACAACAGTTGCCGGGGATGAGGTAAAAATGTACTGCCCCGGAGAGGCTCGAACTCTCGACCTTGTGATGGATAGGCTAATAGGATAACAGTCACACGCTCTAACCAACTGAGCCACGGGGCAATATATAAGAGGATCCATTAGTGCAAATTTGAATCTGCGTCAAACAGAACTGGTCAACTGCGTTGAATGCCTCCGGAAATGCTGCCGGAGTGACCTCTTCCGTTGCCCCTTGCCTCCTCCATGCCGCTCCCTCGACCCCATTTCCTGGCCTGTCCACTACGCAGAGACATCGGAACATCGTTGAGCCAGGCCGCTCATCAACAGACACGACATGCCACTTTCGAACGATACAGCGCAATCCGTAGCTTTTTCAAGCAACAACATCTACGCGTTCCTTCGCTAAAGAACCCTCCAAGCCCTGCATCCCTCGGGTACCGAGCCTCTTACGGAGAGTCGTTCCTCACTCGTTCGACATTTCACGCGGCGAGGACGTCTGCTCGTGCATTGCACACGACCAATGTACTGTTGGAGCAAGGGCAGTCATCACAACCGCCACGACCCTTGACATCCAGTCACGCAACGACCCATGGGCAAATCCCAGAGGAATCCTACCGGGATGCCAAACATGAAGCAGAAGAAATCGAAGACAACGGTCGTGTGCCCAGTCATCTAGATAACTACCCCGCATTCCTTCGCCGTCTCGCTATGTCCGTGCCGAATATCCATAGACCAACCAGAGACGACCTACTGACAGTCGCAGACGGATTTTGGCAGCGTACTCGCATCCGTTTCCGGTGGTTCACGATCAAGTCGTTTCGTAAGTTCAACGCCGACGATATCTCGGCGTTCGTAACATGGTTCTTGATGAGCCAAACGATATGGATTCTGGTGGGGACGTGAGTGCTGGTTTATCTACTAAGAATCGTAGATACTTAGGCTGGACCCAGTACGACGTTCTTTTCCGTCATATTCGCGATCGCGAACAGCCTGCGCCTGCAAGGTCTGTTGTTTGGCTTGCCGACGTGATCTACTTGACACTCACAGTCGTCGATCCAGAATACATTGCCCGTGCGCTGAGCGATTATCTGACCGCCGAAACTGGTGTGAAGATCATCTTCGAATCTGCTATTGTGCCGAAGTGGAAAGACTCTCGGATATCGTTCAAAAATGTTTACGTTGTTCGTCGCCCAACGGTCGCTAGAGACGAGCCGCAAGGCGGGGTTCAAGCTACTGCCATTGGCTATGACGTTAGTAACCATCCACTGGTTCACGGAAGTGGGGAAGAGGAGGAAGAGCCGCATATCCCAGACCTCATTGAGGAAGACACAAATTACACTCAATTTGACCTTACGATTGATTCCATCGATGTGACTCTCTCCTTATGGAGGTGGTTGGATGGCAAGGGGCTCGTCGAAGATGCCGTGATAAAGGGTGTCCGTGGGATTCTCGGTGAGTTCTTCCTTCCCACCTAATGTGCCTCTACTTACCCACAGACGCAGACCGTAGAGTGATCGCTTGGGACCCCGATCATCCACTCGACCCGGCCCTGTTCAGGCATCGTGCACAACCTGGGAGCTTCGAACTGGAATCGCTCCAGCTAGAAGACGTTCTTGTCACAGTTTACCAGCCAGGAAGATTCCGACCATATACCGCATCCATCTTCCGGGCTGACATCCGTACATTCAGAAAACAATGGATGTTCTACGATTTCCTTTCAGCAGAGAATATCGTGGGACAGTTTGATAACTGCTTGTTCAGTCTGCACAAGCCGCAAAGCATCGGACGTACCAACGAGCGAGACCTACTGGACGGAAAGTGGGCCCGAATGGTAGGTTCTTCCCATCCCCGTTTAGAATAGTGATTGATGCTGACCCGTGACAGTCTCGTTTCCGTATTGACGGTGTGAACGTTGACCATATCCAGGCGGCTACCACCGATGGCGGACCAATGTCTTGGATCAAGTCGGGAAAGGTCGATGCAGTTCTCGATATCAAGTTCCCTCATGATACCGAGGGAGATGTCTTCGATGCTATCCTCGGTGAAATTGCAGACGCAATAACAACCGCAACAACCTCACTCTCCCTAAACGATCGAATTCCAGGTCAGAGGCAGCTAGCAAAACCCCCACTGATCGCTCCCTCCGATGCGGAAGACGATGAGCAATCGCAGAAGGGTAGGAATTTGATCATCGATATCGACTTGCGATTCAGGGACTTGAAGGCGGCCGTCCCCATCTTCACCAACGACCTGTCATACGTAAACAATGCTGCAGTTCGGCCCATTGTTGCATTCATGAAGTGAGTTTGTTGCTATCTCCAATGATTTTCAATACGGATAAGGGGTCTGACACTCCACTAGCGCAAACAAGACCCTGATTCCAATCCATTGTAGGGTTATAACGAGTATAGACGATTTTGATGGCTCTTGGACTGTACGTACATCCGTTGATCCATGCCAGACTCCACGCTGAACGTTCACGCTCTTTGCAGATGTGGGAAAGTAAGTGCACCGAGACGCCCGAGCCTGCCCTGAGATACTAAAATTTCCTTCTAGCTGGATTGATGGACGCTATCGCCATCAAGGTATGTGCCCGTTCGATGTTTCAGCAACTGTTCACCTGGCTGACCTGACCGCAAGGTATATGACGCCATGGCTTTCCATGTTTCAAACCAGGCGAATACCCCGCACCGCGTCCGAACGGTTGGAATTTGGAGCTTGCAGATGACTGCAAGCGCTCTCCTTTCCACCCTTCGCACACTGGTTGATCCGCTCACGGTGCGGTTGCGGGAGATATATACCAACCCCTCTTCCTTCGACTTAGCGTATATCTAGGGGGACTGTAGGTCCATGCCATATATTCGAAAAAATATAGCACACCTCCATTCCACTCAATAGAAACAATCATTCCATTGGAATGCTGCTGCTGAGTTTTGGGCTCAGTAACGGCGATCGATACCGGTCGATCATCCGATTTGGCTTTTGACTTGGAACTGCGACCTCCCATGGCGAAGAAACAACAAAGCACTGCACCGCCGAACCCTCATAGTATCCCGAACAGAGATACCATGCAGAGGTTGAACTTCTTGTACCAGGCGAGCACTTACTTATCGTCTCTCTCTGCTACCAAGAGTAGCTCGACCCCGACAACGCAACCCGAGGCCCAAACTGTCACGCCGTCCGGTCCGAAGGGGAAAGAGAAGCAGACAGACGAAGTCTGTCTTGTTACTCCTGCGTATTTGTCCAGAGCATATGTCAGCTCTATGAAAGCCATCGGCCAAAAGACAGTGGTAAAATTGTGAGATCGCTCACTCCTACATGGCTGGAAGTCACGACATGTTGAATCTTGTAGGGACCCTTCTGTGAAGCGTACGATATGCAAAGGCTGTAACACACTCCTGATACCTGGGATGACAACAACTGTCCGGTTAAAATGTTCGTTTCATGCCATCCTATCACGGAATCACACTCACCACGACTGCCGTACGCAGCTTCACGTCAGCACAAAAAAGTGATCAAGCTCTCGTGTCTGAATTGCAAGACTACACGACGCTTGCCGGCACCGCCTCCGCCTCAGGACGGTGCTGATCGTCCTCCAGATCCTGAGTCGGCCATGCAACTCGATGGTGTGGGAGTCGAAGGGAAAAAGTGCAAGCGGCCCAAGAAGGCTGTGTACAAACAACCGTTCTTCGAACGTCCAGAACACATTCTGTTCCGTGGAAACGAGATGGTCGTTAAAACGGAAGACCCTTCGCCACATGAAACGACCGCGCAAGCCTCTGAGTCTGTCAGGATGGAAACCGATGCGGCCTCGATACAGATCGGTAGCTAGGGGAGGGATGGAGTGACTGTGTTGCTAATATACGCTACCTGCTATGAAAATACATCAGACGTCTATATGATACAGCGGAGATAACCTTCCAAGAGTGTCTGTGTATGCGATGACGAAAGAGGTGGGTCGACGGTAACGGGTAGGGGTATGACTATGGTACAAACGTCCCAGAGAAATCCAGGTATATCCTAGGACACACAAGAAACGGACAAGAAAAGGAAAGTGTATAGTGTTACGGGACAAGAGAGCGTGATAGAGAGAAAGTCCCAAGCGTCGAAGAGGAAACAAACACAACATAGGAGAATCATATCCGAGGCGGTGTGTTAAATACTGAAGTTGAGAGTGCTTTCCGATGCAACGGACGTTTCTTCGTCAATAGTCCGTCCGGTGGAACTTCTCCCTGATAGGTCCCGAAGAGCTTCTTGTATATTGGCGAAGTTGTGGCGGCAACTTTAGGAGAAGGCGGCCGTAAATCTGACCCGCTCCTCTGCAGAGAACCGCTTGGATCGGAACTTTCTCCAGGATTACGGAAACGAATCTCAGAGACCTCCGACGTCGTTACTGGTATACTCTCCGTCGGCGAGGCACCTCCGGTCTGGGGTCTGTGAGACTGTGAGGTCTGTGGGTGTCCTGCGGAATAGGGGGAGTAGGGATGAGGTTCTGTCGGTGGCCGTAATTTCAGAGTTGGAAGTTGTCGGATGACGGCGGAGAGGGACAGCGATTTTGAAGTTCTACTTTCTCGCCGCCTATCCGAATCGCGACGTGATGGAGCGGAATTGGTGCCAGCGATAAGCGAATGACGAGGGGAATCGAGATTCGTGTTGGGAGGGAGAGGGGGTTGATTGGAATTGTGTGGTTGCGATTGTCCTGCACCCTCCATTGTGGATGGAGCTCCGGAGGTTGAGTTCATATCCAGGAAAGAATAGGTCATGACCCTCCCTCCCTCATTTATCTGTTGCATTTTGGGCTCTGGTGGTTCCGGCGGTGCTTTGCCTTTGGTGGGGTCGGGGTCAGTTGCTATCTGCACCGAAGGCACGAGGACTGAGGTCCGTCTATCATCGTTACTGGCACGGTAAGATTGGGGGCGGGGTCCAGAAGGTTTGGGAACACTGCTTCGTCGGTTGACGCTTGGAGAAGGAGTGTTTTCCGAGTTGACTTTCGGAGGGCTCCGGATATGTACACTCAGGTACTGGTCTACGGCCTCTGGTGAGTGAATGATGTCACGGGCGCTAGTGTCATGCAGGTGCTGAGTTGGAGACGGCGAAGATGTTGTAGGGCTTCGCGGAAAAGT